TCGCAAGTTAGTAGAAGGATTCGGCGGCTTCTAGTGTATTTCCCTTTACTGTGACCTGCTCTTTTCGTAGTGCATCTATCCTTAGGACTTTTGTCTTTCCGGGGTATATTCCCAATCCAACAGACTCTGATAAAATTGTGGTCTTTGCTTGCATCTGTTCCTGAGTGTGTGACAGAAGCGCCAAGTCATCTGCAAAATCCAGATCGTCCAACTGTGTCCATGGGGTCCACTGTATGCCATTTCTGTGTCCATAGGTGGTTTCTTAATTCAGCCAGTCGATTGGCAAGAAAAAGAGGAAAGGTGATAGTAAACATCCTGGTCTCACCCTGGTCTTGATGTCAAAGCTGTCAGTGAGATGGCCATCATGTATAACCCTGCAACCTGTCCCTTGGTACTTGCTCCTGATGAGGTAAACCAACCTCTGTAGTATTCCGTGATGGCTTAGTGTCTTCCATAGTGTTGCTCGGTCTTTACTGTCAAAGGCCTTCTCATATTCAAGAAAGTTGATGGTCAACTGGGAGTGACATTCTCAGGATTGTTCCTCAATGATCCGCAGCGTGGCTATCTGGTCCGTGATTTGCCGGTTTTTCCCAAAAAACCAGCCTGTTCATCTCGAAATCATGGATCCGTTGCAGATTTAATTCTCCCCAGAATGATTCTGTTGAAAACCGTACCTGGCTTTGAGAGAAGAGTGATTCCTCGGTGGTTTGCTGCAGTTTCTGAGATCCCCTTTTTAGGAAGTTTCACCAGGTGCCCCTCTTTTCAATCCTTTGGGAACTTGCTCTCATTCCAGATCTTCGTAAACAACTGAAGAAGAAGATGTGCCATCACATTGGCATCTGCTTTTGAGGCCTCATGTGGAATCTGATCTGGACCGGCCGCTTTATCGTTGCTCGGCTTCTTAATGGCATCGATAATCTCTTGCCTTTATGGCGCAGATTGGTAACTCATTTCTTGCTGGCAGGATATTTGGTGGGATACTTGGTGGTGGTCTGTTCAGGAGACTGTTGAAATGCTCTACCCATCGTCTCAACTATTCTTCCTTTCCAAAAACTTTCACAGCAAAAATACGCTACAAAATATAGTTCCAATGTTACTTGGAATTTTCTTCATGGTATTCGTTGACTTTGGCTTTAGTTTTAATAGGAGGTTTACGACACTTACAACACAAATGTGTCACATGAGTGTCTAGGTTTAGGGGAGAACATCAGAGCCGCGCACTTTCGAGAAAAAACTATCAAAGCCGCGCACTTTTTATGATATCGATGCTATTAGATTGTCGATTACCAAAACAGTACGATCCGACAATTTAAGTACCCTCAGCATTTGACTGGGCTTGGGACCAGATATCAGTTAGATTTTGTCTCTCTGTTCATCCATCTGTCCATTCACGCCCTCCTCCCTGCGTCCATCCATCAGTCCATCCGTTCCCTCCTCTGTCCATCCCCCCGTCCATCCCCCCGTCCATCCACCTGTCCATCCATCATGTATAAAACATATGTACGGGACAGGGGCGATCTTTAAAGTGTTTGAGCAGCATTTTCTTTCTCATTCAGGATAACAAGTTGTGAGATTTGTCCATCTGCGTACATTTGCTGGTTAAATATTCACCCTTATTTCTTGGTCGTGCCTTTCTGTTTGGCATAGTCTGTGTTTTTTGGTTTCAGATTCGAAATGGTCTGGAAATTACTTAACGTCTGCAGAAAGACGAATATATTGGGATGAGGGCTGTACACAGTAATTTTGTCAAGCTTACTATAACCGTTGGAAAGAATCGGCAATCTAATTGTATCGATATCTTCAAAAAGTGCGCGTTTCTGATAGTTTCCCACGTTTTGATGCGTTACTTGAGAGTAACATACAGAGAAAAGGAGGAGGAAATTTAAGTAGGATAATATGTTGGATAGGAAAGAAAGAGAAAAATACATCAGAGCCCCAGCCAACCACCCATTGACTTGGACTGTTAGGGGAGTTTTTAGGAAAGATCTAGGAGAAACAGAGTCAGAAGTTGAGTTATCATGGCCCATGACTAATGTGAGGCAATGACTTAACAGATGGGTGTTGAAAGCCACAAGTTATCTTCTTGAATTAGCTGTTCTCGCAATGTTTATATCCGTTGTTCAATATTTGTAAGTACAATAATGTCTTCACCATATCCGCTTAATTATGTTGATTTTTTATATTTCAATGATTCATAGATAGCTATCGATACACTCGACACCCATGTTCTTTGTGGAGTTATTATATCTCTATAACATCACAATCCTGTTTCAAAAGGTGTCAATTCTAAAACTATGTCTTGCCTACCCCAGATCATGACGAATGTATGCACCTGGTGTCAAGAAGACGCTGCCGAAATCTGCTGGAGCGTCGGTCGAGACGTCGAAACTTTGCCAAAAGATGTGAGATCAACTTCCTACCTACAGTGCATCTCGATACAGGTATGGGGATGTAATATCGCATTAGTGTCATATATTACCAAAAAAAAAAACAACAAACA